CTGTTGGAGTTATAAACGTTATTCATTATTATTAACGAGTTTTAATATGAAACAAAATCCTGAATTATGCAAACTATTTGTTGTATATCGATTCTAAGGTCTAAATTACTGAAATGCGATACCATACATAGATAAATGTACAAATAATTAATATAAAATATCAATTTTTCAAATGTACTATATAAGAAAAAACTTCTAAAATATTTCATAATGTAAATAATGAAAGAAAGTAGAATAAATAAAAATTAGTTAAAATATTTACAGTTACTTTTGCAATATAATCCTCTGTACATCATCTAGTAATATTTTTTTAGTCAGCTTTGTATAACAATAATAAGAGAAAAAAATAACCGAAAAATTACAAGATTTGTTCAATATTCCTAATGGTATATAAATAATTAATTAAAACTTAATAGGATAAAAATTTCAATTCGCATGTGTTTTTGTGGTTATTTTCCAATGCATATTTTAATGAATTTTAATAAGTAATTACCATATACATTTTAATTTTTTTATTTTCATTATCTTGTGAATTACAGCTAAGGCCAATTCATTATTCTTCAATATCTATTCAATATATGAAATGCTTAAATGGAATGAAAACGAAGAAGTAAAAATCAACTTTTCTCTCTTTGATACTTTTATTTCCATTATAATAATCGATTATTCAGTTGTATTTCATCGTTCATGTTATTTTTTTTTTCCACGATACAATCTTTCTAATTCAACAGTTGGAGAGTCGACCTATATTTTTTCCCACTGCTTCGTAACCAGTATTTCTTGAAAATAAGGTTTAGTTATATCGTTCACTTTCTTTTATCGCTATCATACAATAATTATATGATTACAATAGCGTCTACATTCGTAATTCAATATAATTTGTTTAATGTGCTTGAATTTAATTTTTATTTTGCTTCATATTCTGTACTATACCTTAGGTATTTTATGGACGATAATTTATAATTTATTGTTATATGTTTACCGAAAGTCAATCATTAAATCTATTTTTCATACGTATTTCACTCTTATTTATCAAAAGTACATTGATCAATAACAAATAGAACCGTCATTTAATTTCGAGCAAATCACTGTACTTGTACACTTGCGTTTCGACGTTATATAAATTGTTAAAATAAAAACTTTATCCATGAGAATACTATAATTACTGCGTTTTTAAAATTCATTGTTAAGAATTCAAAATTCTCTAGAATGAATTAAGCACATTAAGAATAACATTTAATAAATGCCATGAATGACCGAATTGAAGAATCATTTTAAACGATTCTCATTATTTTCACATAAGACTCACATTTTCAAGATAAGACTTTAAGATCTTTATGTAAAATAAATAGAAATATATTAGAAATTTTAATATAATTTTTCTTTTCGAACTAAAATCAACATTTTCGGTAAAAGAAAAGAGTTTAGTGCTTTTGGAAGAAAGAAAGAAAATCCTATTGTCCGCAGTTATTGTTTCTGCTCAATATGCTCTGAAAATCATTAAAAATAAAATATCCAAAACAAAAAAAAAAAAAAAAAAAAAAAAAACAAAAAAAAACAAGGATCCCTTTATAACAAGCAAGATTGAGTCGTGCTAATCGATGAATGAGACAAGACAAAGGACTGACTCGTTAATAAGTTGAAAATACGTATTTATTTGGCAGAATGGTAGAACAGAACCATACGTATCCACTCCATAATTGTCGTGATTCGCGAAACGGCGGTAGGCCCAGGACGGTTGTATTCATTATCGGGTCGAAAAATCTGCCCCGCTGCCGCGCAGAGCCGAGCCGAGGATATCGGCAAGGGCCACTCACGAGCACCTTTATCGGTTATCGGCGATCTCACCTTATCCTCCCCCTTGGAGCGCGCGCTCAATTACTAAAACTCGTCTCGGGCGAACTCCGTTACACGTACGTTACAAAGCCACGGCGCTTTCTAATTGGAACGACGGCGAAACAACGCCCCGAGCCTCAAGGTCACTAGTTTGCGCGCTCGCGTTTCCACACTGGGCACAGGTTATATATTGTTACATCGCGAGGCCTCGGGAGCTCGCCTACCGAGAGGTACAGGGGTAGAGAGGGAAAGGACGTTTGTCCTCGAGGCTTGAGCTATTATTTTATGGGTTACTCTACTCGCGCTTAAGATTAAGATCTTGACGGGAGGATACGAAGCGCGTTCATTGTGTGTATACAAACTTTTTTTATTTAAGCCCGAGACAGGTGTTGAATTACGATGGTGCATAATGAATTGAGTTTTTCCCGATGGAATATTTATTACGGCTCTGGAGTTGTTTCGGAGAGCCTTTGTCGCATTTCTTACGTATGTGCTCTGTGTAACATCTGCGTAATTAAGTCACACGTTATTGCCAATAATGAGTGAGAGCAAAACTCGGCATTGTTTATGCATAATAAACTTTAACATCTGCTACAACATGGAGAAATGATTGTTAATAGAATTTTTTGCTGTTAAAACTATTGGGACATACATAGTACGTTGAAGGGCAGAAAGAAAAAACCATTAGCGAGGCTCGTTTAATTTTCGTAATTTCAAGAGAATGATGCAATCCTTTTCGCGTAAGCGCACGAGATACACGCACTTGCAATTTTACGAGGCAGGATATTATGATCTTAAATAGCATATGGGAAAAGATAGTAAGAATATACGATAAGAACAAGGGGCTGATGAGAAGAGCCTGATGAATCGAAGCGTCAACAAATTGAAGAATAAAAATATCGAGCTTTTTATGACACCAGTCACCCAAGGTACGGGAGAAAGTCATGACACGTCGTTCAAGGTCGTTACGTGACGATGAGGTGCCGTTCCCCGGTAACCGAAACAAGCCCCCACGAACACAGTTATACAATTGATAATCGACGTGATCGACGTGATCGGCGAGATCGGCGCCGCCACCGCCAATAGCATCGGTGTTCGTTCTTAGATACAACCGCGCAATTAGAGTGAGTACGTACGATTACGGGAGCTGATGAATCTCGAGTCGGGGAAACCTACGAGGATCGAGCACTGGGAAGAAGTCGATTTATACGGAGGCTACACGAATTTTACGACTAAATCTCTTATTAACCTTATCAGCAAACAATGTGGTCTTGCCTTATGTTGCATTGCCACGAATCGTTCGACAAATAATCCAGCCATATTTGGAAAAATTTATAGCTGATAAAGATTATATAAAGATTATATCCAACATTGTTACATATAGCCATTTTAACGGTCTATTCTAAATTATGTTTATTGTGTTTATTCTTCACTTGTAGGATTATAATAAACAAATTCTTTAAATCCGGTATTGCAGCATTTTTGTGGGTGACTACATGATTATGCCTATCGGCATAAAACTTTTAACATAATCTATATAAAAAAGTCTTACTATTTCACGCTAAAGTTAAAGAAACGTGTGATATTTTTACCTAATCGACATAATAATATAATAAAAAAATTTCTGAACGGCACTTACATATCAGTCACAAATCAATGATGTGAATGTAATGTGAACTAGTGACATGACTGAATTCAGTAAGGGCATTTTTATTATACAATTAATTGATTGATTGATTGATTGATTGATTGATTGATTGATTAGGCAAACGGCTTGATATAAACTTGAATATTTTCGACAATGCAATATCGCGAAATAGAAAAGAAAATTAGAAACATTGATTTATTTCTAAAAATATTATTGACGAAATACTTTAAGAAATATCTGTATTTAAATTAAAATAACAAATTCGTATTTTTTTTAAGATATTAGGTCATTGGTTACTGCTATAAAAAATATCCAACTAATTATTTTTACTTTTTCATAGGTTTTTTTTTCCATATTCGCGATAATAAATAAAACTCTTTGAAAATTAATTTTTCGTATAATTTTCTTCTCGTTCTCAATCTTATCTAAACATTATATGATTATAATGAAAAATATTAATAATTTTACGAAAAATCAATAATATAATTTCTTAATAATCGAGAAAATAAAAATTATTGTTGAAATACAAATTTTATATAAGTATGTAATCCATTAATTATTTAAATAAAATTAATCAAAAAGGCTTTTTCAAATAAATACTATTTCCATCATATTTTAAGCTGCACTCGCAAATTTATAATCTTAAATAAAAATTTGATACTCAGAGTATAAATTTAAAAATCAAATTTATCAATAAGTAATCATCATAATTATATTTAAAAACTTGTATAATCGAACCGAGATACTTGTACGAAACTGAGTTTACCGAATGCATCTAATCGTATCCGTACGAAGTAGAAATAGAGTGAAAGAGAGTGCGAGAGACTCGAGAAACGACCCGTAAATACATAAATAATCCATCAAACAACAAAATCACGAATGGAAAATAACATCTTAATTAGTTACTTAGCATTTGAGCTGAGAAGAAACACTTCTTATAGAAGAATCAAACGAGTTTCGTGTTTCTTAATTTGATAGATAGATCCATTGGATTTGAAACCGTCAATTATCAAACGTAGATTATCCTGTTGTAATCTCATAAGAAAAATTTTAATTATGGAGCGTAAAAATACGCGACTTTCATAGATCGTTGGTAGCTTTTACCGAAATTGTTAAGAGATACAAATAAACATATAATTTTTAGTTTTAGTACGTAAAATTTTCATCATCTTAGAACAAAATATTATTAACAAATAAATTATTTTATAATGCAGTAAATTTATTTCCATTGTATTCAGGATAGTGGACAAATATCATCATTATAAGCATAATAAAGCATAAGAAATGCATATATAAAGTTATATTTTCGTTAAGAAATAATGCGTGCATCGTTCGATGTATTCTTCCAAAGTTCGAGTGAAAGCCTTCATCATGTATCATAATCAATTCAAAATGAAAGGAAGAGATCATTAATATGAGAAACGCGCTTGCGATTGCAAGAGAATCATCGGGCAGGAATCTATCATGGGCACATATGGGAGGGATTCGTCTGAGAAAGCCCTTGGCTGTCACTCACCATTTTCAGGGTCTCCTCGGGTCTCAGCAGATAAAACATCGACTGGAGATGCTGCTGAATATCGCATCCTGCAGCCGAGACGCGACGGGATGGCCGGGCTCGTTCGTTCGGCGGCAAGACCAATGCCGCGCCTTTCCCCGCGAAGTAGCATTCGCTCAAGCTGTAATGAGATAATAAAGGACCGAGATTAGATTATGACGATGGCTAAAACTACTTTGCTTACTCTACTTTGCTCGCTTGCATTTGTCGCGCATTAACAAGCGTCG